TATATATATACATATATATATATATATACTATATCACAGTATATCAAATACTCATTTATTTAGCATCAGATATGAAAATTACTTATAATAGAATGTAGCGTATTGTTTGTATTATATATCATAAAATAGGAAACTATAAATTTATATATGATTTAATTCTTTTAAATATACTATATGAAAAAATTTTTACGAAATAATTTTATAATGAATACATTAAAATAAGATCTCCAAACACATATGCTTTAAATGAAATAATTGCCTCGATTTAAGGTTCTTAAATTAATTTCAAAAATTATTTACTAAAAAATAATGTATATACAAATATTAATTAAAGATGATCAATAGGTATATAACCGCCAATAGAAACTTTCTTTTTTATATTATGATCATAAATCGTTATCCCTAATTCACGTTTGTCTTCTTTGATTGAGGATTCATTTTCTTTGATTTCAATTTTAATTTGTTTTGTAGGATCGTCAATTTGAATTTCTTTCTTTTTCTTTGGTTCTTCAGATAAACCAGTTAATTCGTAATATCTTAATCGACCTTCTGAGTTTGAATTCTCGGAATTACCATCTATGGCGAGTGTTGCATGATATTTTTGAATATCATGTGTTTTGTTCAAGTACTTAGTATTTTTTTCGAAATTAGAGGAATGCGATTTATGAGGATAAGGACAACACTCACCTTTGCTGCAATTTCCCGACTTGTTAAATTCAGGACAAAGATACTCGTGACGCCGTTGACACTATAGGAGAACAAATCAGTACTCTACGTTTTACAAACTATTATTATGAGCCGTTATGACATTTGCATAAGGCATCTGGTTGTTAAATAGTTAAAAATCACCTTAAACCTAATTTTATTAAAACATCACTTTTTTATATTAGTGATCTCAGACTCATATCCACACGGGAGCTACACAAGTCAATTATCAATATCTATAATAAAACAGATTTCTATATGTTAAACTAATAACACACGATGTATGTTTTCTTGCTTATTTGCTTGCATTTTAATAAATTACTAAAAACTGTATTGCAATTCTGGTAATTTATTAGAACGCAGTAATATCCAGCAAAAAAACATGTATCGTGTGCCGCTGGCTTTAATATGATTACATGTTTTTCTGCACGTCGGTGATCGGATATTATCAGTTTTGTTAATTTAATTTTGCTAAAAAAAACTATATCTTATACAACGTTATAATTGATCACATGCGGCCCGCGAGCTACATATCTGAAATCTTATATTATATTAAAAGAAAATTGCATTATGATGCAAATTAAAAAATAAGAAAATATTTGTTGTATATTAACAATAGATTAATGTAAATAAAAAATTAATGTATATAAAAAATAATTGTAAATAAACTATACAAGTAATCACTAAAAATATAAAAGAATGTGCAGTTACCTTATTTCCTTTGGCACAATATCCTTGTAGAAAATCTATGCAGATTGAAGTATTTGAAGACACTTTAACATGAAGATAAGGACAAGCATCTCTTGTGCAGCAGCCATCAAGGAAGTATTTGCATGTAGGCATTTTTTCAGGTCCAACATCGTGAGACAAAGAGCATTTGTTTAAAAAGCACTTTCCTTGCAGAAAACTAGATATATTAAAAGAAAATTGCACAATTTAACATTTATTTTTCTGAATCTTGCTTTATCAAAAATAAAGAATTTTGCAATTTCTTATATACAGTAATAATATATATATATATTATATATATTGCGAGATTCATTTTAACTTAATCGGATGATTTTTGGAGAAACACTAAAGGAAATACCAAAAAAATTGTTTTAAAAAAAATCGACGAAGTTCTTTCGTATCTTTCATGTAATTACTAGTATTAATTAATGATATACTTATTCGAGGAAAGAATATAAAATTATTTAAGCAGAAAGTTCAAATGCGAACGATAAGATTTTAGCAATGTTAACTTTCAATGAACTTCATAGTTAAAGAAATTTGAAATTTTTAGATATAAAGTACCTAAATTAAAATGGAATTTGTAAAGGTTTTGAAAATACAATATCTTGATGTGTGTCACAAAGCTATAAAATACATTTATAATAAAATATCATTAATATTGTAATAAAAAATTGATTTTCATTAAAAAAAACAAGTTTTTGATCTTGATACGATTTCGATAATTTTATGGACTCACACAAATAAAAATTACATTTCTCCAAAAATTATATAGTTAAATTAAAATCAATCAGCCTGCATTTAGCTTTGACATAATTCTAATAAATATCTATGTGGTACAGATAAATTAAGAACATTAATATAATGACATAATGTATATAAATATAAAGAAAGAAGAAATATGAGAAATATATTCAATACTTCAAATATTAATTTACTTTTTGCAGAGCGACACCTGATTTTTATCATGTCGTTTAGGACATGTTCCATTTTCATAATTTGGGCAAGATCCAAATCGTTGAAAAATTAAGCAAGGTTGATTATTTTTGTGCATTTTATTTCGTAGAATTCGTATGCTTCGTTGTTTTACTTTGTTGCTAAAATAAAAAATTTGTGTCAAAAATAATAATGAATTCATTTTAGTTTGTATACAGTTTTAAATAATATATACATATATAATAAATACATTACTTGTACCTGATGCTATTTTTGTAAGTAGCTTTTGAGGATACGTTGAAAGCAAATTTTGTTTTGCTACTGGTATCCGTTTCTGATGTGCGATTTAAACTTTCTTTGCTCATTCGTTGTTTTTTAAAACTAACAAGTTTATCATTCTTTCCACTGATTGATCGTTTCCCTGATTTTCATAGGAAAATTAACAATATATATATTTACAAATTATAAAACTGTTATGTAATAAAATAAAACACGAAATAATACACATACGTTTTAATAAAGAGTTCCTTCGAATTAATTTGTTTTTAGAAGCTCTATAGACAATACCACCAATAGTAACAAGTTTCTTTGTACCGTTTCTGTAATACAAACTTTCCAATTTTATAAATTATTTACCTCATATATATATAACTTATTACATATAATAGTACGTGCGTTACTTACATAACTTTCGTAGTTTCTGACAGACCAATTTCTTTAGCTTTTGATACATGTAATGCAGTTCTGTCTATCTTATATTTGGTCACTTTAGATTTACCGATATTTGATTTTGATAAATTAAGTACCATGCTTGTAGATTGTAATGAATTACTTATTAATGGTTTCATTTTTACAAATTTGTGCGTTGTCCCTAATTTTTTATCTTTTAACTCTGCATGTTTCGATAATCTACGTTGGTGAAATGAAGAAGTTTTTGATGTGTTTTTCATAGTAGATACTCTCACGAGTTTTCTACGTGATAAAAGTACAATGCTAGAATTACTAGTCTTTTTTGGAGAAATCTTTCGATTATCAACATTTTTTACAAACTTCAACCTTGAGCAAACAGGTCGTTCTGTTGTAACTGATTCTTTAGAATTTGTCGACTTTTCTTTGGAAGATAATTTTTTCAATAATGTTGGGTTAACATATATAGATCTTTTGACATTCGCTTGTCCAGTATTATTATTTATATTTGTCTTTGTTGTACTTATATTTGCAGTGCTTATATTATTTTGAAGACTTTGATTTGAATTAGAAATATCATGCATCACTTTTGGATTAATGTGTATTAAAGGCTTAGCATGGATATTTGGATTGATATGTACTGTTGATTTTTGTGGTTTAAAATTGG